CGGCAGCCGGATGCAGTCCCCGGGCACCAGCTCTGCCGAGCTGACCACCAGCTCCTCTGGAAAACAGCCCTGCTCAGGGTGTGGGGAATGGAGAACCTGGAGAACCTGCTCAGGGATTGGGAAACGGGGCATTCATCTCCAGAAACCTGGAGAACCCACTCAGGGCCTGGGGAACAGGGCATTCATCTCCAGGCACCTGGAGAACCCACTCAGGGTGTGGGGAATGGGGCATTCATCTCTAGGTACCTGGAGAACCCCCTCAGGGATTGGGAAATGGGGAAACTCATCTCCAGACACCTGGAGAACCCACTTGGGGATTGGGGAATGGGGCACTCATCTCCAGAAACCTGGAGAATCCTCTCAGGGCCTGGGGAACAGGGCATTCATCTCCAGGCATCTGGAGAACCCACTCAGGGCCTGGGGAATGGGACACTCATCTCCAGAAACCTGGAGAACCCACTTGGGGATTGGGGAATGGGACACTCATCTCCAGACACCTGGAGAACCCACTCAGGGATTGGGAAACGGGGCATTCATCTCCAGACACCTGGAGAACCCACTCAGGGCCTGGGGAACAGGGCATTCATCTCTAGGTACCTGGAGAACCCCCTCAGGAATTGGGGAATGGGGAAACTCATCTCCAGGCACCTGGAGAACCCACTCAGGGCCTGGGGAACAGGGCATTCATCTCCAGGCACCTGGAGAACCTTCTTACAGCATGGAGAACAGGGGCACTCATCTCCAGGCTCCTGGAGAACCCACTCAGGGATTGGGGAATGGGACACTCATCTCCAGGCTCCTGGAGAGCCACCTCAGGAATTGGGGAATGGGGAAACTCATCATCTCACACCTGGAGAACCCCCTCAGGAATTGGGGAATGGGGAAACTCATCTCCTGACACCTGGAGAACCCACTCAGGGTGTGGGGAATGGGGACACTCATTTCCAGGGACCATGGAAGGAATCGCTGTGGGATAAGGCAGCAAACAGGAAGGGGTTAATTCCCAGGAAGTGGGAAATTGAGATGCAGGCCTGGGGAGAGCTGATCCAGACCACAATTCCCAGCCACCCCGAGCACTGGGAATGGCACAAACACCTGTGGACAGCCAGGGTTTGGGCTGTGTGACAAATGGAACCACCAGAGGAACCCCAGGGATTCCCGGCACTGGGAAGAGCAGGAGGAAAAGGGCTGCTGGGACAGGGCAGGGATTCATGGGGGGATAATCCTTGTAATCAATTTGTCTCTCTCTTTCCCTGAAATCCATTGTTAAATTAAATCCACGCTGGCTTTGGAATATGGTCTTGTCTGCACCTTCACTTGGACAGAGGCATCTTTTACTAACTGGACCCCAAAACTATTCCAGTGTCTCATAAAATTATTCCAGTGTATCCCAGCATTATTCCCATGTATAATAACATTATTCCCATTTATCATATTGTTATTCCCATGTATCCAAACATCACTCCTGTCTTCTAACACTATTCCCATATATTTGTATCATTATTCCCATGTATCCCAACATTATTCCCATATATCATAATATTAATCCCATATATCATAAGGTTATTCCCATATATCACAATGTTATTCCCATGTATCCCAACATTATTCCTGTGTATCCCAACATTATTCTCATGTATAATAGCATTATTCCCATATATAATAACATTGTTCCTGTCTATCCCAACACATTCCCACACATCTAAACATTACTCTGGTGTCTCATAACATTATTCCCATGTATAATAACATTATTCCCATATATCACAACATTATTCCCATGTATCCCAACACTATTCCCACACATCCCAACATAATTCTGGTGTCTCATAACGTTATTCCCATGCAAAATAACATTATTCCCATATATCATATAGTTATTCCCATGTATTCCAACACTATTCCCACACATCCCAATATTACTCTGGTGTTTCATAACATTATTTCCATGTATAATCACATTATTCCCATGTATCCCACCATTATTTCCATGTATCCCAACATTATTCCTGTGTATCCCAACATTATTCCCATATATCATAACATTATTCCTGTGTATCCCAACACTATTCCCACACATGCCAACATTACTCTTTGTTGGGATGTTTCATAACATTATTCCCATATGTATAATAACATTATACATGTATTAACATATATAACAATATTCCTATATGTATAATAACATTATTCCCATATATCATAACATTATTCCCATATATCATAACATTATTCCCATATATCCCAACATTGTTCCTGTCTATCCCAACACTATTCCCACACATCCCAGCATTACTCTGGTGTCTCATAACATTATTCCCATATATCATAACATTATTCCCATATATCCCAACTTTATTCCCATGTATCCCAACATTATTCCCATATATCATAACATTATTCCTGTGTATCCCAACACTATTCCCGCACATGCCAACATTACTCTTTGTTGGGATGTTTCATAACATTATTCCCATCTATCACAACATTATTCCCATATATCATAACATTGTTCCTGTCTATCCCAACACTATTCCCACACATCCCAGCATTACTCTGGTGTCTCACAACATTATTCCTATGTATAATAACATTATTCCCATATATCCCAACTTTATTCCCATGTCTCCCAACATTATTCCCACACATCCCAACGTTACTCTGGTGTTTCATAACATTATTCCCATGTTTCATAACATTATTCCCATATATCATAACATTATTCCCATATATCATAACATTATTCCCATATATCATAACATTGATCCTGTCTATCCCAACACTATTCCCCCACATCCCAACATTACTCTGGTGTCTCATAACATTATTCCCATGCACAATTACATTATTCCAGCGTGTCCCAACATCATTCCCACCTATCCCAACACCAGTTTGGTGCAGGACCAGGATCCCAAAGGACACATCATCCCAACCACCATCCCAAAAACCCTCCCTCTCACCTCCTCCAGGCCGCCGCACCCGGACCCCCACGGACATCCTGGCCATGTTCCTCAGCGTGGTGCTTTGCTGGGAGGGAGGCAGTGATCAGAATCCACCCAAAACATGGGAAACCATCCCCAAAAAACGGCCTGGGGGGCTCGGAAGCAGGGATGGAGGACAGGGAGGGCTGGGATAGGGCTGTCCCCACCCACCTTGCGTGTCTCGTAGAGGGACAGCCCCAGCGAGAAGGTGGAGATGAGGAAGATGCAGGCGGCGTAGTAGTAATAGGCATCACACACCCACAGCACCATGCTGAGCACTTGGAACAGGTAGAAGGGGTTGAGCACCTGCAACAAGGAGAAAAAACAGCTCTGGGAGCTCACCGGGAGACCTCCTTGGGGTGGGAGAACCTCCTCCAGCCCACCATGGGATTTCCAGGCTCCTTGGGGTGGGAGAACCTCCTCCAGCCCATCATGGGATTTCCAGGATCCTGGAAATGGGGGAGAACCTCCCCCAGCCCATTATAGGATTTCCAGGATCCTTGGGGTGGGAGAACCTCCTCCAGCCCATCACTGGATTTCCAGGATCCTGGAAATGGGGGAGAACCTCCCCCAGCCCACCATGGGATTTCCAGGATCCTTGGGGTGGAAGAACCTTTCCCAGCCCATAATGGGATTTCTAGGTTCCTCAGGGTGGGAGAACCTCCTCCAGCCCATCATGGGATTTAACCTCCTCCAGCCCATCATGGGATTTCCAGGATCCTGGAAATGAGCAGAGCTTTCTCCATCCCATTATGGGATTTTTGGGCTCCTGGAAGTGGGAAGAACTTCTCCCAGCCCAGTATGGGATTTCCAGGCTCCTTGGGGTGGGGAGAGCTTCCCCCAGCTCAATATGGGATTTCCAGGAGGGAGGAATTTCTTGGAGGAGGAAAGGCTTCCTCCACCCCATCATGAGCCTTCCAGGCTCCTGGAGACAGAGGAGAACCCAGCCCTTCCCTGGGGCTGGCAGCCCCCAAACCCTCCATCCCCCCTGGAATTCCCTCTGGATGCTGCTCCCAAGGATGCTCAGCCACCTCCACAACCCCTGGGGGCTGCTCCTGTCTGCACCCAGAGGTTCAGGAAGGGTCCTCTCATGGCTCTGCCTTCTCCCCAAATCCTCTCCTCCCTTCCCAAGGGCCGGGAAGCGCTTCCAGACAGGGACAGGGAGCAGGGGAGGGATCTGTCCTGGGAAAATCCGCTTGGGAAGCCCAGCCTGGAACCCACCTCCTCCACCAGGAGCCTGGCGTAGGACTTGACAGGCACCTCTATGAGGTTGGGGCCGTAGATCTTCCTCCTGAGGGGGGGAAGGACAGAGAGGGAATTTTATCCTTGGGAAGGAGAGGGAAGGAGTT